TAACGTAAGTAGTAGTACGAGTTGGTTGGGGGTCGGAAGTACACTATAGTAGTACTCGTACCTACGTAGGTAGGTGTACGAAGTAACTTACTATATATATATATATATATATATATATATATATATATATATATATATTAGTTTGTGTATTTTGGCTTGCTCAATCGGGTTCTTTGACCAATATATCTTTTACTTGTTCTTATTTACCATTTTTCATTAATTAAACAACCGAAATATGACTTTTGTTTTATACAAATGGGTTGGTTATGACGGCTCAACTGGCCTTTCCAAGAGGGCCCAATGGAAACATTTTGTATGACCAGAAAAACCATGTCACCAAAATCATTTGGAAGGGGAATATGCCACCAAAATCATTTGGGAGGGAAAGCTGCGTATATATTTTAAACCTCTTCAAATTAATATAAGCTGGATATTTTATGTATTTTAATGCATGCATTTGGGAGAATATAGTGTTCCATGGATCTGTTGTTATTTTGTTATGTATTGTCCAAAGGGCTATATGTATTTATTTTTGTTTTTATTTCTTTTTTTAAAATTGAAATACACTCTGGTTCCTGTTTTTTGAAAGTTTGTATATGAGGTGGATTTCAGGATAGATCTACTCTTGGATTTCAGGATAGATCTTCCTGCATTAATGAGACAGTTGCTCGATAGGTGCATCTGAATGAAGAGCAAGAGTGCTCACCACATACATTCGGTCATCTAAGATACGACACAAGCAGATTGATACCACTGTAGAGAGGTAGTGCAGGGAGAAGAACACCATTCACTTCTTTGTTGATATCGGAGAGAGGATGCCCAAACTCTTTATGATGCCTAAAAGATCCTAAGGTTGATTTTGGTGGCAAACCCTATCATAAGCAGCATGATTAGGCAGTCCGAGTATCACATCTTCATCGACTCCCTATTGGGAAGGATTGCAGAGGGGCTCCATGTCAAGCTAAACCGACGCAACTACAATTGGCTGAGGAACTTGGAGTTCCAAACCACTCCTTAGAGCTTCATAGTTCATACATCTAGAAACACACAAACAATAGAGATAATTGACAATGGGATGGACCAGAGCTACTGAAAATCTTTATAGATGAACATCAAAGGTTGCTAAAACTCCATTAACAAATGATCACAAACTAGAAGTTCTGAACTTACGCTTTAACAAAAACACAATTTGGTACTCCCAAGTTCCAAACTTATATTTTAACAAAAGAGTTCCGAAATCCAAGTTCCAAAATGTCTTTTGGTTAAAAATGTGGTTCGAAACTTGGAAGTTTGAAATAGATGGCATTCTGCAGAAAAAAAGAAAAAAAAAAGACAGAGACGTGCACATAAAATTGAAAAATTACGAGACATTTTTTAATATTAGAAAAATAAATGGAAATTTACGTTTTCCCTTATATCTTTCATGAATACATGTTTACGTCCATATCCCCAATGTCTCCACATATATAAATTGACAATTGAATTGCTGTGGTTGCTGGCATTCTTGCACCGAGCAGTCAACTGAGAGAGAGAGAGAGAGAGAGAGAGAGAGAGAGAGCTGTTTGGACAGGCAAAATTTTGCCTTTATTCTTTCCTGCCAAATTGTCACAACGTTTGCAAGGGATTATATCTGTTTTTCCCTTGTTTATAAACAACTCGCGTTCCTTTTGTAGAGTTGTTAAGCAATCCCAACAGAGCCTCCGGAAACTATATAACCTTGATGTCGGAGCAACCAAATTGCACCTTGTGCTGAATCCTCTGCTGCCGCTTTCTTCGTTCTCCTAGGCTGTCCAAAACATTCTACAATTGAAGTTAGAGATCCTTCCACTTTAAACTCCACTTTGTAAGTGAACCTGTAGAAGTCAAACCAAGTGATGATCAATGATCCAGATAACATCCAGATAATGAACACATAGGAAGGGTCCAAAAAAAATGCAAAACAAATTTCATTATGGCTACATAACTGCTTGTAAAGTAGGTTCAATTCCAAACTTACATTTTCATGTGATCAGGTCCCTCATCTTTACAGCAAGTGAACGAGGGAGGGTTCCAAAAGTTCATAGTGCAGATCTCATACAATTGGGAGATTGCTGAACTGGTAGACTTATAATCTGGGGATGTGAAGTGAAATAAGTGAGATCACTGCCAATAGTAATACAAACAATTGGGCTCTTTTTTACGTATTTCAAAGCCCCCAATAAGAATTCCACTAAGAAATTTGAACGTAGAACAATGACATATTTCACATTTAAAACAATTTATTTTCTGGAAAAACAAAGATGTGCCTATCTACTTATTTTTATACATACCTGTTAGCGAGTTTTCACTATGGGAGCTACTTTCTTCAGATACTTCATCATAACTAGTTTGATCAAAACTTGAATAAAGAGGAAGCTTCAGATTTCTGCAGAGAATGTCATTGCTTTCAGATGAAGATGCATCCAATTCATTTAATGAGTAACTTGTGCTCCAATTCACAGCCTCAAGGTATGCATATGCTTCTTGTTCTTCATTGCTCTCTCTGTCTTCTGGTGGGATAATGGATTCATCTGCAAATGCCAGTGTTCCATCATGGCCGATAAGATCAGGTTCTTGTTTTCGACATGTACGCAGAATTTCCCCCATGGATTTTGCTTTATGCAGGAAACCTTCTGCCTACATGTTGTCAATGGTTTCAGTGGCACCATAAAACAACTCTCACCAATAAAATTAGGACAATCCACCTTAACTCTGCCAATCAATTGGAATTTCAGACATCACAATGTAAAATAAGATGCTTCAACATATTGTCTAAAATGTTACACAAAGGTGGACCATTTCACAACACAAGATCTAAAGTTGCACAGTCATGGCACCTAGGGTGCAGCTTGAACCACAAATGTTAAAAGGAAAACCATGGAAATATTAGAAGTACAGATGTGCGACAATCGGGCTTTGGCTTGACTGGTTGAAGTGCTGATGATTACAAACTATGTCCGTGCGAAACCCAATAAAAAGAAAAGACAAGTAAAAATATAAGTTATGGGAACTAATCTTCAGTAGGTCACCCATTCGGTGTTTTTGTTGCTTGTTCTTGATTATTTTTAGAAGTTGAGAGTTCGAAATGGGATTTTCTCTTCAGTCAATTAGAACTAAGGAAATATCTCGAAATGATAGCATACAAATAATAACATAAATAATCACAAGAATAACACATCTGACCAACATCCTCAAGTAGCTCCCATTATTAAACTTGAAGCAGAATTTGGGCACTAATGAGGTGGCTCAGCATGCCGTGTTTTGGGTGCGGCAGGGGTATCTTTGGGTGAATGAATAAAATAAATACAATTCAGTCAACATCTCAAATGTCTTCAATGCAATTTGCATCACCAAGGATATAATCCTCATTATCAGTTGTTATAGTTGTACTATGAAAAGGATGTCCTAGTACTCTCCATTTAGTTGGTTTTTCTTTAATTCAAATTTTCAAGGCATCAAAAGAGGAACCTCATTAAGAGTATAAGCACAATACTGTGATATATCAAAGAAAAAATTCATGACAAATTTCGAGAACATGTAAGCTCCTCGGGTGGTCGGGTGCTATTCGATGAAGAAAACACACTTTAGGAAAGTGGTTCAGGTAGCTCAGCTGGTTAGAGCAAAGGATTGAAAGTCCTTGTGTCAGTGATTCGAATCCACTCCTAAGCGCTAACCACTACGTACCACCACAATTCATGACAAATTTCAAGAACAAGTAGTATGATACAGCCAAAATACAAAATCAATACAATAATATAAAAAACTATATGATATATCTCATTCTATACACTATGAACAGTGTTCTTTACACCATATATGAATAATATGTCAAATCTGGTACTCATATCAATACATGTATCTAGGATTTTGGGAAATGCCGAGTCCCATCCCAGCTTCCTGCATCAGTGGTCCTTAGCTGTATCCATTCTGGGCATGTTAGTGACCCAGGCCTTCAGGTTCAAATAAAGTTCTCATACAAGTATAATGTTCCATTGAGAGGTTTTTAGAATTTGACCAATTGAACTATGAGCCCTTGTTTTGCCAGTGAGGAATTCTTCAATGTTGAGAGACAAACTACTTTGACGCCATCAAGACAAATGCAGTTCACTCACTTCAGGGTTTAGAGCGAGAGAACCAGTATTTACTCAGTAACCGACCCAGTCACCGTCAAACCAAGTGAACTCGCCAAGTTGAATAGTTAACTCAGAAAAACTCGGCAAGTTTTTCAAATGTTTTGAGAAAACTTGAAAAAAAGAAAATAAGAGGAAATAGACATACTTTGTAGCGGGAACTGAACCCAGCTGTCTTCACCTGTCATATAACCAGACTGCCACATTGGCAGAGATGTTCTTTTAGGCAAATTAAAACAGAAACCTACATATTAAGAAAAATAGCTCTTCACCTATGTCATACCGCAATATTGCCACACTGGCAGAGATATCTGTCAAATTAACATAGAAAACTATATATAAAGAAAACTCAGAAATGAGTCACGTTGGCTTAGACGAGTTTTTCATATGTGAAACAAGTTTTTATTTGCTCAAAATAACTCATATAGGGCTGTAGTAATGGCTTCTAAATGGATCCCTTTGGGTAAATTCCATGAATATTGCATCATACAGCCACATCCAATGTCTTCACCTGTCATATCACAATAGTGCCACATTGGCAGAGATGATCTTGTAGACAACTTTAAATAGAAACCTACATATAAAAAAAAATCTCTCCTCACCTATGTTGTATCACAATACTGCCACACTAGCAGAGATATCTGTCAAATTAACATAGAAAACTATATATAAAAAAACTCGGAAATGAGTCTAAGTTGGCTCAGACAAGTTTTTCATACAGGAAACAAGTTTTTATTTGCTGAAAAGAACTCATATAGGTAGGGCTGGCAACGGGTCGGGTATGGGTCGAGTCCCGTTGAACTTGTACTTGGGCCCGACATAGCCTTGTATACCCAGACCGTACCCATACCAGACGGATCCAAAATGGTTCTACCCGTACCCATACCCCATTGAAGATTTTGGACCCGGGACCTGGACCTGTACTCTAGCAAAATCCTACTGTGGAGAACCGACCCATTCCAAACCCTAGAGAGAGAAACATGAGCGAAAGGGAGAAAATGCAGGCAAGAGAGTGAAGGAAGCCCTAGAAGATGCAGAGAATGCTGGAAAGGAAGAAAATCAAACCCTATAGAGAGAAAGATGAGCGAAAACCATCAAATTTGTAGGTGAAGACCAGGCAGCTTGAATAACACATCTTGCAAACATTAGAGAGACAAAGATGGGCGAAATCCCTCCCTTTTCTTCGAAAGAACACAAAGATCTTTTTTTTTTTTTTCGAAACACAGAACACAGAGATATTCATTCATTCATTCCATATCCCTCCCTTTTCTTCAACATCATTTACATCCCACCAAAAATCAAAGACAAGAAGTAATAGAAGAAACCCTAGATTAACAAAAGATCCAGCCTCCATTGCAAGGGCATTCATGAGAAACAACAAAGCCACCATTAACATTTGCAAGACATAGTAAGAGAAAATGATATGGTGAGAGAGAGAAAGAGCAAGATGAGAGAGAGTTCTCCCCTGCCTCTTGAGGGCATAGACCACATCCATGGCAGTCACAGTCCTCCTCCTTGCGTGCTCTGTGTAAGTCATCCATGGCAGCCACAGTCTTCCTCCTTGTAGGCAAGCCAGTGGAGGAGCCCTAGACGATGCAGAGAATGGAGGCAGAGACACAGTTGTAGAGTAGGCTGAGCAGCAGAGGAGTGTAATGGCATTTGGGGCTTTAGGGTTTGGGCGAAAATAATGTTAAAACGATGGGAAACCATAACTGTTAGGTTATATTTTAGTTAAAAAGTTGGTTCTAGTTAGGTTAAATATGTAACTTAAACATATAATTTACATAAAAAATTTATTAAGTTACAAGTTTCTGGTCGGGTATGGGGTGGGTCCACTAGTACCCAGACTCGTACCCGAGGCCAGGTATACCCACCGGGTCCCAGGTCTGGTCCGGATCCATTGCCAGCCCTACATGTAGGGTTGTACTAATCGCTTCTAAATGGATTCCTTTGGGCATATTCCATGAATATTGCATCATACAGCCACATTCGATTCTTGTTTTTTTTGTTTTAGCATATTTAACTTTTTATTACTATAATAATCATTAAAGATACAAGAGACGAACCCCCAACTAGGGGCCAGATACAATCACAACTATAGCTACCCAAATCGCCTATGAGGGTAGCGATTTCGTTTCAGAATCTCGATTTGGCGTTTCCGACGGCGAAAGTCAATTCTCAAAGAATGAAATCACGTTTCCATTTTTTGTGAAACGCGATTCCACCTAGTTTAGGAATCTCTCGATTCCTTGATTGCCGGAATCAAGATTTCATATCGAGGACTTTATGATTTTTAGCTAAACAAGAATGCGATTCTGCTTGTGAGAAATGTCGATTCCAAATTTTTTGGAATTGCGAATCCATGTTGTTTGGAATAAAGTTTCTATATTGCAGACATCGTGATTCCTTGCTACACAACAATGCGAATCTACTTATGCTAAACGTTGATTCAAAGTATTAAAGAATTGCAAATCCATATTGTCAGGAAGCAACGTGAGCATAGGGAGAGCAGAAACCCTTAGATGTGTGCTCAATCATGAGTGAGCACGACATATATGAGAGCGTGAGAGAATTTGAAGTTCTTGTACACGGCAATAAAATCAAAATTTAAAATATGAGTAATATGTTAAGATAGGGAGAGCAGAAACCCTTTGATGTGTGCTCAATCATGAGTGAGCGCCGACATATATGAGAGCGTGAGAGAATTTGAAGTTGTTGCACACGGTAATAAAATCAAAATTTAAATTATAAGTAATAGGTTACATTTTTTATTTTCTTATTTACTAATTTCCATCTTTCATTCCATGTTACTTTTTAAGAACTCTTACCAAGAATAAATAATACTAAAAAAATATGTTACTTTAAATTTAATAATGTTTGGTAAATGGTGTGGGTACTAAACTACTAATGTAATAATGTTTAATATATGATCGACATTCTCATTTCTTCAAGTTGAATAAGAGGATAAAAATGCTTTTCTTTAAGTAAAATAAGAAGATAATAAGGATATGAACGAAGTGCCCTGTGTGGTGTTTTAGGTTAAATTATTCATTAAATATCAGAAAAATTGACTAAAAATTGAATAACTCAATTTTCAAAAGTCAAAGGACTCAAAACTACATTTAATAAAGAAGAATTACCGTGTCATGTATTTATTTTATAATTCAAGGAAAGGAGATAAAGGGAGCTTACCCTTGTTCTCACTCCTTGTATGCCGTAGACTAGCTCCAGACGTTGTAAGCATAATAGGGTTATCGGTAGACTGAGTCCATTGTATGAGATTGTCCACAAAAATATCATAAAGGTTGACATTAATACTTGGAGTTTTTGATTGAGTATATGCAGACCAAAATTCGATCTTATAGTAATGGGTAAATTTATATATTTTTTGAATACTTCTCTCATATACTAGAGGGAATTGCTTCGTAGTTCTAATAAGGGGAGAATCTCGATTCCAATATGGGGAGAATCATGATTTTGGAAGGGTGAGAATGTTGATTCCAAGTTGATGAGGACAACGATTCTAGAATTTTAAGAATCATGATTCCTTATTTTTAGGAATCACGAGTCCATAGTTTTAGGAATCACGATTTCAGCAACCACCGAAACAAGTGGGGTCATGTGTGAATGAAACACGATTCCAACATGAAGGGGCATCGATTCTTGCAAATAGGAAACACGATTCCTAATTTTTTGAATCGTGATTCCGAAATAGTGAGAATCATTTTTCTCACATCCGAATCGTACGGACAACGATTCCTAGATTTCGAAACTTCCGATACATTCGATTCCGATTCCAGAAACGATTTGGAATAACAGACGTTTCCAACAACTATAATCAAAACAAGAGAGAATAACCCAAGAGGGAATCCAGACAAACACTATACAGGCAATGGCTCTTGGGCTAACAAGGGGGCTGGATGTTTCACTTCAGAGAGAGCCAAAAGAGCTGGGAGTACAGGTTCGAGATGTCACGAATTGCCGAGCATTTGGCAGGGCTGCCCAGGCCATGAACATTCCAAGAGAGACATTGCATTGCCCTGGGTGGGGTGGGGTGGGGGGGGGAGACTCAGGAGTGTCTTAACCCCGGAGCCAGTGGGGAGAAAGACGGGTCGGGCTCAGCATTGATGTCAGATGTGGTACCTACTGCCAGATTTGCCAACTCGCATAATCTGGTGGATATTGCCTTGGGCTAAATCTAAGGCATCCATAAGATAGGAATTCGCTGACTAGGGGGAAGCCGAGAAAGAGCGGGAATAATAAGAGGAAGGGGAGGATGACGGAAACACCACAGGAATGGGAGTAGCGGAAACAGAGGGAACGAAGGGGGAGGACATAGATGGGAGTAAGGATGAGAGGGGAGAGGGAGAGCGGCAGGGGGTCAACTAAGATGGGAGGGGGGCAGGAGGAGAAGGAGGCCCCATACGACCAGCGGGATCAGAGGGTGAGGCAGACTGGTTGGAGGCGAGGGTGACAACTTTGTGCCGACGGGGGGGGGGAGGGAGTTGCCAGCCAGGCAGAGGGGACGGGGTAGGACTGCGCCACCATTGGTTGAAAGCACTGGGGACCTCGGCACTGGGGAGGGGCCGAGTGGGGGGTTCAAATGAGGGATAGCTTCTGGGCTGGAAGCTGGCGCGAGGGGACTAGGGAGCTAGCTGGCAGGGAGGGGCATGGATGGATAGGGAGAGGCGGGTTGAAGCAGACGAGCCCAGGGGAAGAGAATCACAGTCCGGAGACAAGGGCAAGGATAAGGAGGGGATGATCGTTGCAGGAAGAAGGGTGATCGCAACCCGGGTTGAAAGATCTAGTGAAGCCTGGCCGTTCCTATGGCAGAAGCTGGCGAAAGCAAGTGCCACAACAAACAAAAGCTCCACGAGAAGCGACACGGCTAGATTGCCAGGATTTACAGGTAAAGGCCCACTGGCGTTGACTGGTGGCTTCGATCCTGAAAAGGGAAGCAGAGGATTGGTCGTGAGGACAACCAAGGAAGTCTTGCCTTAGCCGAGGTATTAAGAATCAAACCATTCGACGGCCAAGGGGACTCCACGTGGGGAGTGGAAGGAGCTTTAGGAGAAAAGGTGAGCAGAAGGCCATCCTCAGCGGTAACCAAGGGACGCATGCCACACGGGATGAGGGACGAAGAAGCCGAAGGCTGTTGAGCAGATGCGTGCCTGCCAGTTGGCCAAAAGGGCTGTTCTGGCTGCAGTGCAGGCTTAGGTGGACACGCGTCTGCTGCAGGAAAGGGATAGCTAGGTGGGTGGGGTGATAAGGGTACGAGTCATGATATGAGTAGTCGGCTACTGAAGGCAGCGATGCTTGCAGCCACGCACATAGCACCCTGTAGAACCGGCCCCTAGCTTCCAGCCAGAGCGACAGAGGGACCAAAGAGGATTCGAGGACTTCCACGAGTACTTGCATGGCACCCATGGGAAGGTACTCCATCGATTTCCAGTGAATAGCCACAAGACTCCCATACACAACGCTTAGGCTCCGAAAGGTGTCCGCTGTCCAGGCATGCTGTGGGATGCCAAAAAATCTGACCGACAACCTTTGGGGTTTGAAGGCACCAATTTTTGGTGACCACGGGGAAAGAGGGGGTCATGCCTTTGAATTTTGCTGCACGGGTCTTTCCCATGGCATCGCTGGTTGACAACAGGAGAAGGAAGAGGGTATTGCCAGCCAGGAGCCTCCTACAGATGAGGTCAAGAATACCCCATAGGCCTTTGGCTCATCTCTTGACCCCTCAAAGATCATCATGGTGAGGGGAGAAGGAACCAATCAGGGCCGCCGAAATTTAGATGAGAGCGCTAGTTCGCATGAGCTGAGCAACCAGGATGGCGGAAGCACCTGGTTAGGGGGAACTCTGGCGACTGACGAAGTAGGAATGCCCTCAAGAGGCTATTGGGAGGGGGAGGAGGAGAGGCTCGAGGGGGCAGGGAAGCTTGAGGGGGAGGGAAGGTTTGGGGTGGCGGATGAGATGGGCTTAGGAAGAATAAAGTGGAGGAAAAGCCTCCCCCAGCTGGCTCCCTTGGCTCCTAGCTCAGATTGTGGTGAACACAATGAATTGCTTCAACTTGCATCGTTCAAATGGAAAGTTCATTCTCCAAGTCAATCTTTTTCAGTGGGGAACATCAACTTCCTAACCAATTCTTGTTACAAGCAGAAAACATCCAAAAGAGTGCAAAGGCAAACTATTCAATATAATACAGAAATGTATGCAATGAGACCATTTACTTTTGATATAAGGCGGTCACAATCATCATTGACCATTAGATTTGAAATCGAGTATTTGAGGATGTGTCATTGTTTGGGCACAAATTCCAAAATAAAATATCTCAAATATTGTGACACTTACATCTATTTGATTGCACATCTAATGACTAAAAATGATTTTGACCTCCTTGTACCAACAATAAGTCGTCTCATAGTATACAATCCCATATAATACACAGTAAACAAAATACAATAAATCACTTACAAAATCTTTATTGTCAGCATAGTTCCTGAAATTATAATGCCTCAATCACAAATGCTTCTTTCAATGGTAAAGAAATATCTTAATTCCCACCAATAATTCATATATGTCCCCCATAAGGTGGTTGTTATCCTGGTTCCCTTGGGGCTGCAAAATAATGCAAAGAGTCCAGAAACTATGCAGCCCAAACTGAAGCCAGCTCCAAAAGGGGGGAGGAAAAGGAGAAAAAAAACACGAATCAGGGATGACACATGGCTGTGGATGAAAATCAGGTTTGGAATATTTTGGACATGTTAGTGGTTTTTTTATTTGTTTTCTCAGCAAGTTTTTGGGTGTCATTAAAATTCAGTTGGTCTTCGTAGATTTTTAATGCTTTGGGAATTTTTCAATACTTGGGATTTTATGTATGATATTTACAAGTAAAGTTTGGATAGGTATTAAGGGATCAATGAGTAAAATCAGTCTTGAACAAAGGAAAATTGAAGTTAAATGTAATTTGCAGTCTGTGTTGTGAGGTCTATTTAGGGACATTAAAGGTGGAGACAAAAATATAGTTCTAATTGTAAAAACTTTCCTTCAAGAAATTGCAGAGCCATAGCTCTTTTTTTGTCACTTGTACTCTTGTTCTCTTCATTTACTTGCTGGATTTCATCTCTCTATGCATGGTTGGCACCACAGAAACAATGTAGGTGGAATAAACAAAATTAGCAACAAGCAAGATGGAATTCCCTCTTAACAACAAGCTACGAATGAAAACTATGCTAGTAATGAAGAAATGTGCAAGCTAGCTTAAGGACTAAAAGAGGAACATAAGTCAAGCATGGCAGATTAAAATAGAGTAGACCGAAGACAATTAATTTGCCTGGTTATGTTACTAACTAATGAGAAGCAGTTTGACCTAACAAAGTCAGAAGTTTCCACGAAACACAAAAGATGTTAAGAAAAATGCCATCTGAAAGTACAAATAATATAAAAGAAGTACAAATGAAAAACTATAAATCATAAACACCGAAAGGAAATTATTAATCATCATTAAAAAAAAAAGAATCAGGCCAAAAGATATATATTAAAGTCTTAACCTTTGTCACACACTACCTTCAATTTCAATAAAGCATTTTCAGCGGCACTTCTTTTAGCAATTCTTTGACTCGGGTTTACCCCTTGACCAATAAAACATCTATCACTGGAAAGAACTTTTGCTTCAACCGTGTAAATTTTGTTCTCCTTTGTACTATGGAAACTCAGGTTGAAACTTTCTGTTTGGCAAAGTTCTTGAAGTTCTCTGATAGGACTGAGCTGCAAGCTGGATAAGCTCACGATAGGATCAAGGAAAGATAACATCAACTTCCAAACTTGCGCCAAATCAAATCCACAATCTAGAAGTATAGCACCAAAACAGGACTCTACCAAGTCCCCAAGAACCTGAAATGGAAAAACCTCAATTCACCATCAGAAAATCATTGTGGGAATAATGATGCAACATGGTGTCAAGAAGAAACATTTTAGAGTCAGTTCTGAAATAAAGTCCAAAGAACACTAAAGGAGCACATTTGATAGGGGAAAACTAAACCTATTCGTTTTGAGAGTCTTTCTTCAGAGTTCAAATGATACAATTTAGTATAAAAACTGATGACTATAAACCAGTAAATGGGGTGTGTAGTGGCAATTGCTTTGCCTCCAGTGATCGAGCACATAAAAAGTATCTATGTCAAGTTATATTGCAATATAGAATTGCAGTGTTTCCCCAAAATATATAGAATTGCCTGCCCAAGGGAAAGAATAAGATGATGGCTTGTGTAAGAACCATGTTCAAAATAAAGGCACACTTCCTTTGTTCTTTATGATTTCTTTGTACTGTAACTAAGGGCTGAGCCATGTCATCCATATTAGTTTTGTTACTGTGGGCCAGAGGGGATCACCGTATGTTTTTGGACTAACTATTCATGTTTGTTCACAGAAAAGTGTTAAGAACATAGGAATGACCGAGAAATACTAATGTGGATTTGTTAGTACAAGTCTCTTATGTTGGAGACTTACAAACTTGCAGGGAGAGTTTTTTTAACATTCCAAGGTATTTTTCAAAGAAATATTTCTAAAGTAGGAATATTCGAGAAATATGTATAACAGGCTTTAAAGGCATTCTTGAACAAAATGTTTTTCTTCATACTCTTAGAAGACAGTAAGAACTGCTTTTGATTTCTGAGGAAGTCAAACACGTGAGCAAAAATAGATTCTCAATAGCGACCTGCTTTTACACATACTGTTTGTTATATTTTCGTCATCCAAGACTAATTTAAGAGGAAAACTTTTGGAAGTTGATCCTACAAATCATTTTCCATTAAAGCACCCAATGGCAACCTTATTTTGCATTGCAATTTATAATTCCAAAAAGATCAGAGCTCCAAGGAAGAAACCTAGGCCTCCAGGGAAAAAAACACGTGAGATTTTCTAAATAGAGAGAGCCATGGGATTATCATAATTTCTAAAGAAGAAATCATAGGGGCTACTAATGTTCTGATGTGTTTATCATAATTTCCTACAAGAAGACGGCCTATGGAAGAGAACGAACTATATGGAGACAAGTCTGATTTTGAACTTCAAGAATTTTCCCATGGGAACCTAGAAAAACTATTGGATGTGGACTTGAAAGGCCATACATACATAATTCACATTCTCATGAAATTCACAATTCTTCAACCTGAAGTTATATTAGAATCTTATATTCATCACCTTCCAAAATTTTACTCAGTGAATGTATCTGTGATATCATAAGTAACATCATGCATATATTTGAGCATGTTCGTAGAAATGATAACAACATACAATCCTAGACGAAGATCAACATGTATATTTTCTTGCCAAAACAAGTCAGCATGCATACATTCGCGATGAGATAGAGATGGAAATGAATTGAGAGGAGGAATTCTTGACCATACTCAGTTATTCATTAAACTAGGAAAACTAATGCCCAATTTGTGCGTGTTCTGTTGAGAAATTATATGCTATGTATATGAGTGCCTTTACAATAATTTTAATTTGTTTCTTGTGTATGTATAAATTTAGTTCTAAGAATGCAGAAAAATGTTTAAAGCTATTAAGTAATTTCATACCATGCCATTTGTGGATGGAAATATATTATGCCTCAACTTTCTTTGCTGTTGCAACTCATTACAAAGATGGCATGGCATGTTTGCTACACTCATTACATAAAATACAAGGATAAGCATACACATAGATACATAGGGAGAGGGACACAGATTATTCAGTATTTATATGTATGATTATAAAAATATATGTTATGTGTATGCATTTTGCTATGTATATATGCATATACACACATGAATGTCTGTAAGACTATATGCATATAGCCATGTACATAAAAGATGCCAATGAGGCAACTTCTTTCTCTCGAAGCAGATGAAAGAAGTTCCAAAAAGTTTTTTAGCCACCATCATAAAAATCAAAATAGAAGACAAAAACGGCAAAATAATTCCACGACAAGCATGTCGAAAACATAGCCGGTGGAACATGTCAGTTGTGCAACATTCTTTCTACTGTACTGATTCTTGGGATGATTCACTGAGGAATCTAATCATTGAACAAGACAATGGAGGATAATATCGAAAACATAATATCTACTGACAATTGCCATTGACGAACAAAATGAGATAAAAAAATTGTCACATATTCTACCTTTGGACACTTTGGCTCATCCGACAAGGCCCTTTCTGTGGCAGGACTCTTGACATAAGTTGCAAATTTCTTGACATCCTCAGATAGGCTTTTAGAATCACTAATAAGATATAAGTGGAATTGCCGGTGCACCGCTATACGAGCAAATGAGTTATTATTTACCATCATGGATCGTAAGTCAGTCAACTGTCCTGGCTTCAAGTCTGGAAAAGCTGAATATAGGTACGACGTGATCATGTAATCCAGGACAGCATCCCCAAGAAATTCAAGTCTCTGTAAAAATGAGAACAGAAACCAAATGCTCACATCATATCAAGAAGTATTTGATACTTACTTTCAAAATTCTATTCATGTATTGTGCATTATACCTAATGAAATAATTATGCAACATACTCACTTGATAGCAGCCTCCTGAATATTTATTGTATGAAGGGTGTACAAAAGCTTGTACAAGCAGATATTTATGCCGAAACCTATATCCTAGTGAACTTTCTATTCCAGAAATATCAAAGGACTCAGGGACCACTGCATTGCTTTTTGTACTAATGGAAGCATTAGAAACATGTGAAAATCCAGAGTCCACAGGTATCCCTATCCATCTCAGAAATGATGATGCCCCTTTGTACCCACATTCAACAAGGAAGGCTCCAATCATAGCTTCTACTACATCAGCAACAGTCTTCCTATGCAACCAATGATGGGACTTGCTGCATTTAACATCAATTAAATTTACATCTGCTTTCACTTCTTCTCCATGCGGAAAATGAATGTGGTTTATAGTGTCTTCATTGCAAATGTTTGTACAAGGACGACCAACGGCCAAAAAATTCGATGGCTCAAAGCATTCATCACGTATGTATGCCTGATAAATGAAAACAAATGCAGGTTGAGGGAAATAGTAAGTTAAAAATGAAGAAGAGTTTCATTTTTCAAGAATCCATCACATAATTTATCTTTACATGATCAAATGATAAAATCACATGCAGAGATATCTTATTTAATATTTTACTCAAACAACATAGATAACTTCTAAATATCACTGTACGTAAACAAGAAAGTCAATTGTATGACATTGTTACAGATGATGAACAAGGGCTCCTAGGGAAGGTGTGAATTACCAATTGATATACTGTAGAGACTCGAAAATCCCTTGCAAACTGCAGTTGAAAGCAGAATGGTAGGCATTTAAATTGATTCTAGGCCGGAGCCATCCAAAATCCAAATTAATATGCCATGTTTGAAGTTTCTACTAGTGGTATCCTAAAATGTATCTCATCTCTGAAACTCGAAACACATTTCCCACTATTACCAAAGAGACCCTCTTTCTTTGTTTTCTATTATGTTTATATACTTATAATTTATTGGTGTACATATACATCAAGCTGCATCAAAGATACAACACAGGACCATATACTAAGAAACTAAGAGAACATAAGAATAAAATAGATTGGCCTCTAATTCCACAACTTGTCATTGGTCAAGAAGCACTTCCTGACGAAGAATGGAGAAGAATGCAAGTAAGCATGAGGAACTGCTTCCTAGATGTTCCCTGAGATCTAAGGCTGTTTATAGCTACATATAATTAGAAAATAACTACATTGCCTTTCTACTACTAATATAAATACGCTGATACTGAAGCACAAGTATAACTGATTGAACAATTTATACCCTTGTGAAATTCGACTCCAAACTTTCACCATGGACAGTCCCGAGCAATGGTTTCTCAATCAGGAATCTATGACATAGCTGAGTCAAAGCTTTTGCAAGCAAATTAGACACATGAGACATAACAAAGCATGATTTGGTGCCATACATACTCCATCAGGTACTCCATTTACGATGTTGTCTAGCAAATAATAATTGATGAAATAAAATGCATAATATTCTATATAGCATGTACCCCATGCTCCCGTGGGAAAATACTATACATTTACTCCCTCAGGTAAAGGACCCACTTAGGGAGATTTTTTTCTTTACAGTGAAAATTTCGGATCAACTTGTTGGAATCACCAGATGAGTATTTCCAAACGTGGACTTTTGAGTTCCTGAATACATAGATCAGACCATCCAAAAATTGGATGGTCTCCGTTCACTATGATGACTTTATTTTATTTCAGGCACTTCAAGAATGCGTATGATTTTTCTTTATTTATTTATTTATTTATTTGGAAGTTGGCTGCTTGTTTGAGGAGGTTGCAACCCCAAATTTTGGGGCCCTAAGAATGCTCCTTGATAGGGTTTTTCTTGAGGGAGTTAATCTCCAAAATGCTCTCGTGTGAGAGTAGAATCTTATGACTATTCTATATGTGGCTCTCACAAGATTAATATACAAGGCTAGAAAGTAGATGTTAACTTTGAATATATTCACCATATTTATGCAGCTAGATACCTCAATATTCCAGGAAATTTAGAGAGTATTGTCAGTGATGTTCACAGTAATGCTTATTACATCTAGTATAATTGTCTGACTCCAACTTCTCAAATGAGATTTCAAAGACTTCTATAAGACTCTCCCATAGATACGAATCTATACATGATGGATCCACTCCCATACATACGAATCTATACATGATGGATCCACTCCCATAGATACGAACCTATACATGATGGATCTGCATTTAATGACAATGACGGCCCAAAGATTGCAGTCATTGATAGCAGCAGAAGATAGTCATCTTTGTTAAATAATTAAAGACATCATGGGATCAAACCTATGCAGATGCTTGTCTCTAAGATATTCCATTCTACTACAATCAGCACAAAAATAAAAAGATGGAGATATTAAAAAAGAAGACATCTATTTGGTTCGGATAATGTACAAATTGAAGAATGCCTTAGGAAAACTATAGTACCTGCAAATTACTTCTTATAGCAAGATTGTATAAGTGAGCATTGTTCACAATACTTGAGCGTTTCTTAGTCAATTGGCCTTCATCAAAACCTCTACACGAAAGAAAAAGGTGTCTACTGACAGCATACTTGAGGTAAGCATCACCAAGAATTTCAAGTCTTTCTAGGGAAAATCGTTCCATGCATTTCTCTGAGGTAATGGCTTCTAGGACCTGCATTTGATCCAACATATATAACAGTCTCAGCGCCATATCTTGTAATGATACAACTACTATCAAAGCATCATGAAATATAATGAGGATGGAATAGATATGAAGAAGCATAATTTTTCTTCGTGAAGAACATCAACAGAGAAGTGCATTACACGATGGGCAGTTATCTGGGATCCTTCAGAAAATGAGGCTGATAATTTTTCTTTGAGCTCAACTGCCACAAGTAAACCTTCAAGCCGGTGCATTAGTGATGGTAATAGAGACAATGAACTCCCAATGTCTTTTGAAAAGTTTATAATCTTTAAGGAACAAAGTTCAGGAGGTAATTCCACAAAGTGCTCTTTCAATCCTCTTGCCTCTGTCAACAATAGGAAAGAGTACAAAAAACATGATAGAAGAATAGTTAAGTGTTTAGAATAAAAAACTGAATGCAACAACAATGTTCCATGGTATAACCTCCTCCTTTGGAATAAGTTCAATTATTATTTTGTAATTGAGAAATGCGCAGAAATAATCGCTTTCCTTTGGAAAAAGTTCCACTATTACTTTGCAATTGACAAGTGACCATTCTCAAAAAGGGTGGAAGTAACCTCTGTTTGCAACAAGAACATAAATATGAGAAAATTAGAGCACAAGAAAACTCAGGAATTCACTAGAACTGTGGAAGTTAAAGAAATTTAAAGTTCTCTCTCTCTCTCTCACACCTTGAAAAAGTGGCACCCGGGGGGGGGGCACATGTGCGAGCATTAGAGAGAAAATTGGTGCACCAGAGATCTAAAATTAGATATGCCCAAAATTATATCAATTTTTTTTAGTTCTTAAGTAGCTGTATCTAGATACACCTAAAAAATGGGCTAAGCATTTCCCTAAATATGTGTTTGAGTGTGTGGGCAAGACAAGAAGGGATAGAGTTTGAATTGAATAACTTCGGGAGAACTTAGTTGTGGCTCCAATAGAGGATAAGATGAGAGAAAGTAGACTTAGATGGGCCGACCTTGCAATGCAAACCCAGTAGAGCCCCTATTAAGAAATACGAGTTGGTTCCAGTGGAAGGCTCAAAAAGGACAAGGGGAAGGCACAAAAGGACATGATTGGAAGTAGTGAGATAATATATGGGGACTTCTGGCCTCACTAAGGTATGGTTCTTGATAGAGCAAAATGGTGGACAAGAATTAGTATAGCCGATCCCAAATAGTTGGAAAAAGGCTCTGATGATGATGATAATGATGGCTCGGAATGCCCAAGCCAAATTGAGATTGATAAGTAGCTTATCCAAGCCCTCTATGGAATCGAGACTCGGACTTGTTTTAGAGGGATCACCTAGTTCACCATAGTGAACCTAAGCACTTAGAATCGCCTGTCTTTAGAACTTGGGCATTTCTCAGGTTCTCAATGATATGGCTTTTTACCCTTTTTGATCCCTAATCCATGGCTCTACCCATTCTCTCATTTTTTATCCATGTTCTTCTAAAATTTGAACCGTCTTGTTTGTCTGTCATTGCTCCACCACATCTGTATGGAAGATTTTTTCAATCTAAATACAAAATTAAAAATTCAAAGGATTAGCATTCAAGAATCTTCCCCTCTTCTGAGCAGAGATCTACCATTTTGGCCCATTCTCTCTCAATTTGGATCCAATTTCTGTAAACCATTTGGATCTTCTCATTTCTATATCAAATCTTTGTGAAATACCCTGAATGGAGAAAACTAGAAGAACAAGTTTTTTAATTTTTTCCCTTTGGAGCATCTATATGCCAATGCCATTTAGCTATAGTCTTTCTCGATTTGGATCCATTTTCTATAGAAATTGGTTCATTTTATTCCATTTTGGCTAATTTTTTATCCTTTCTTTTGTGTGATATCTTTTTCAATTTCTTTTGAGATATCTTTGTGTTATTATTAGTGCCCCATATTTATTCCATATTTCCATGAATTATTCCTATTTTAGGGAATTTTTTTCCTTAAATTTCAAGCAAGTATCTATGTGTGTGTGCATATGTTTGTGTGTGTAGGTTCAATATGTCACAACCTAGAGAAGAATTTGCAAGGCAGTATGGGTTCATAGCACACCAAAAAGAGGGATTCCAGTTGTTGAGAGAAAAGAAATTATCCACAAATATTGTCAGATGATGAATAGGTGTGGTGTTAACTAGTTTAAATAGTATTTAGAGGGGTTTAGGGGCAAGGGGCAAGGTTAAACCATGTAAATAGGTGCCAGGGAATGTGAGGGAGCAGATTTCGGCGATTCTTAAAACTAATAAGAGAAAAATGGCTGCCAAATGATAGATTATAAAAGGAGAATGCCATCTCATTCTATGGAGCTACTGGGGGGAGGAGGGTAGTAGGGGTGGGTGGGTCAGGTTGAGCCCCCAACACGAGGGGTCGACCCGACTTGGGTCTGGGTCTGGGTCTGGATCCTATTAGATGTACTATTTATTTATTATAATAATATAATATATTATATAATATATTTCATTATAGTCGTGGGAGGCAAGG